CGAGAACCGAAATTTTGTTTGATAACTGACGTATTTTCATCACGAATTTGCCAAATTGGACAAATCGGTTTTCAAACGGCAAATTCGTGATGAAAATACGTCAGTTATCAAACAAAATTTCGGTTCTCGGATAACATTGCCAAACCGATCCTAACCAAATTAAATCGAACGGAATCATTTCTGAGTCGACCGCCATGTTGTATATATTCTTGTGTCGTGCCTTGCTTTTCTATTCCAATTTTATTGTACTATGCTTTTTTTTCTCTACATTGATTCCTATTGGACAAATAGTTTCGGTTTACGAACATTTCAGGTTACGAACGGCCTTGAGGAACGAATTAAATTCGTAAACCGAGGTTACACTGTGTCTCTATTATATTTATATAATATTTTCTATTGCATTTCTCGATGTCTCACCTATGTATTTCAGGAAACATTTTTGTAGCCTATTTTTAAAATTCCTGCTTTAAGTCTAACGATGTTGTTATTTTATTTTTTGTTGATTAAATCTTCTTGTTTTTGAAGTAGTTGTGACAAATTTATCTTAAAATTGAATAAATTCTTTTCAGCTGTAGTGATTATAGAGTTAGTAGGTCTTTTTTTATAAGGCGAATTTCATCAGGGTGGTGTTACTTCAATACATTTTCACTTTAATAAATTATTTCTGTTTATACTATTTACATTATGCTTTGTTGTCATATTCACGACGTTTCGGTCATTATACGCTCCGGCCTTCTTCAGGTGATTGAAATTTCGAACCGAACCTTTTATTTCGTCCACCGGAGTAGATTGTTCTAGTTCTACGTGCCATGCCTTTTTCAGATATCTCAGTTTCAGTTATTTCCCTTTAGTAACTCAACTCTTTAAGATTTCGTTCACCCCTTCTGTGGCCAGGTATCGAACTCTTTGGGTCAAGTCACTGAATTACTTCAACCAACGCTTTTATCCACTGGGCTATGTGTCCTCCTGGTGGACAAAATAAAGGGTTCAGTTCGAAATACGAATTAC